ATTAATGGCAGCTTCGTTTGTCTGTTAAATAGCAGCACTGTTTGAGGGTGCGGGAATGAGTGCAATTTACATGCATTACTGCACCCACATGTATGTAAGCCTAGTCTTCGGGAGTTGAATTGAAGGTTCATAGGCTTACTTTAAGTTGCAAGCTTTTGTTAGCTGTGCTTGTTCTTTTTTTCTTTAAGAAAAACGTTACACCTATTGTATATTTGACTTCCAATGCAGGAGCTTTCCTTGATATAAATAAATATGTACTAACATAGTATTTAAATAGAAACAAATGCAAAAACGTGCATATACCTGCTTAGGGCAAACTGTAGATTGTTTTCTAGCAAGACTAAGTTATCACGACTAACACAAAGCTTTGTTCATAAAAACAGCCTAACCCTCTTTTGATTATTATTAAATACAGGCTGGGACAATTGGAAAACTATGATGTATTGTTTTTGGCACCTGGTCAATAAAGAAAACTGAGTGTAAGAAAACATAGTTTAGTCTGACAGAATCTAGAAGTCTGAATAGATGTTTAATGTATTGTCAGATATGTGTGTAGCATCTGCTGGGCCATGCCGATTTATTCCAGGTGACTGGTATATAAAGTTTAACGCATGTATTCCCCACATGTGTATGTACTTTGCAGAGGGTTTACACAAACTCCTAAATAAAAGCTCATTTCAGACAAACAAGAGTGAGCAGCAAGACTTGTTTTCTGATATTTAAAAAAATGATAGACATGGGGAAGAGACCATATTATGTCCTTGAGCAGCTTTAGAAATTTTACTGCGTGTGTAGTCAAAAAGAGAAGTTTTAACCAGCCAGTAAATTCCATAACTTGGAGTACAGTACACAACACAGGCAAAATACCAACAGAATCAGGGTTATAGGCTTGTACATACGGGTTATTAGACATTGGCAAAGCCCCCTGAGTGACTCCCCTATAACCCCACCCCACTACCTGAGTCCTCAGTTTTGTAGCAAGCAATTCAGAATAACCAAGGAATGGAGGAGAGGGTGACCTGTGTCCTGTAATTTACTCCAAGATATGAAAATTACAGTTAAGTCAAAATTCCTCTTATCCAAATCATACATTTCGGCACACAAGCAAAGCTTCAAATACTTTGGAATGTCCCTAGCAATGGAAGGGAAGGATGGGCAATAACTAGGCAAACAGAACTGTGCCAAGGGGCCCAACTTCAAGGATGGATAGACCCAACTTTAGAGTGCTGCTGCAAGAACCTTGTGGTTCTGCGTCCACAGAAGACTGGACGTCCACCTAGTAGAATTTTGAAAATATATAAAACAGAAAAGCAGATAAACGCCTTACAAAGCTGGACTTTAGAGGAGTTGTGCTGGAATGCCAAGGAAACTTCACATGTAAAAACGCGGGAGGAAGTGTTGTTTAAGAGTGTAAGCTCTAGAGATCAGATTTCTTTTCCATCTCACAATGGTTGACTTGGTAGCAGGGTGCCTCTTGCAAAGTCCTAAGGACAGGACAAATAGGGAATCTCTCGACTGAAGCTGTTTCTTAGAGGTAGACTCTTATGGCTCTAACTATGTCCAGGCAATGAAGAGACTATTCCTTTTGATGCTTTGCAGCAGGACATAAGGATGGCAGGGCTATGTCCTAATTGAGGCAGAAGACTGATACCACATTAGGAAAAAAGGATGATCTTACGCATAATACTACTTTGTCATTGTGTTGGATTAGAAACTGCTCCTTATAAGAGAGAGCTCTCAACTCACAGGTACGTCTGACAGATGTGATGGCAACCCAAAAGGCCACTTTGCCGGAAGGATATCCCTGATGAATTCAAAGAGTGGTTTCTGCAGGGCAGAGAAAACCAAATGAGATTCCAAGGAAGCACAGGGTGTTGCAAGGGGGAACTGATCCGACATACACCTTGAATAAGGTTTCAAAAAGCGAGAGCAAAGCCAGAGGGTTTTGAAAAAGAATGGACAAGGATGAAAACTGTCCTTTGAAAGTGCTAAAGGCAAAGTTCTGGTCAAGATCTGATAGTAGGAAGGCCCGAATACGAGGCATAGAATAATCTCTGCCTAGAAACAGTACGCAGAAACCCGGGTGTACAACATCCTGTAGTGAAGTCTTCATGGCATTGGGGTGAATGAAAGTGACTGAGCACCTTATTAGGACTCTAGGAGAAAGTGGTGGCATAGTGTGCGGTAGTTTATTAGCACCAAGATGGAAAGGTTTACAGTGCAAATTTAATACATTCCAAACCTAAATAAAATTGCAGCGTTATAAGGTCACATTGTTAGTCCAACTTTTATTTACAGTTCGCGTGAAGGGTGGTGTATATTTACCTGTATTTGCAAGCTGCTTATTTTTACACTAGTAGGGAGCAATTATTATTATTATTCAGGATTTATATAGCGCCAACAGTTTACTCAGCGCTTTACAATATAAAGGGAGACAATACAGCAACAATACAGTTCAATACAAGAGGGATAGGAGGGCAGACTTTATATATTTTGGTTTACATTCCAAACCTAGCCCCAGTTTTTATAGTAACAAAGATACAGGTTGACCCTGTCTTACCTGTCCATGATGCTGGACTGTATATAGAGCTCAGGCTTTGCATGTCATGGTGGGCATACTCCTGAAGTGGTCTTAAAGCAAAAGTTCACCTTTTGCAAAAAAAATAATAAATGCACATTTTTTGGCAGGTAAAAAAATGTGCAATTATTATTTTTGTCTGCAGGAGCCTGTGAAGCATTGCACCAGAGATCGGCAGATTGCTGGTGCCATGCAGGTCTCCTACAGACCTGTCAGTATATCTGCTTGCCCGTACGGGATGTACAGACAAGCAGATATACTGAAAGGAAGATTCAATTAACTACCATGGCGCACCACAGGTTCTCCATGTACTTCTGTCATGGGGGGGGAGGGGGGACAGCGGGCGGTGGCTGCAGCATTGGGAACATGTTAAATGTTCCCAAGGGTAAACGTATCCTTTAAGGGTCTGGGTTCCATAGAGATGGACCATGGACCTGGACCTGCAGCTGGCAACACACATTGTACTAAGTGCCAAGGTGAGTGCCTGTACAGCATCCAATGCCTGAAGCAACATTACAGGTCATCTCCACAGTATGGGGCTTGGATATGGCTCCCAAGATTTTACTGAGGTTATGCCGATCCAGATGCACTGCTTCTATTTGTGGTATTAAAAGGCAGTAAAAAAGATGATTAAAGAGTTAAACGAAGAATCCAAAGATAAGGCAAAGTTTAGGCTAAGAGTGATTTTTTTCCAGCAAGAGAGAAGAGGTCTATCACTTTTACTAGCAAAAAGCTGAGGATTCACGGATTGGGGTAAGGTTATAAGGGAGGTGATCGGGGGGGTGTCCTCAAAAGCTTTGCCAGTTTCCAATTACCTGAAGGTACAAGCATATAACTCAGTGTCTATGAATACTTTGCCTGTGTCCTGTACTGTATGATTAAGATATAAAAAAGTATACCTGGTACATCTCTGCAGTACATGCAAATTTACCTGTGTTTTATCTCTTTAAACTCACTGCCAGTACAACAAAATACCTGGTAATCTGGCCAGACATTGGGTGAGCTCCTAATTTCTTGAACTGAACTGACAAAACTATCTGTACAGAAATTCCAAGCAGTTTTGTCAACCCTATCTGTGTTTTCCCCTGCTGGACTACAGAATTCTACCTATTTCTGTCCCTCTCTGTCTGCATACATCATACATTTGCCAACCAGAGTGTCATGACAAACCAGGGGCACAGGACCAAGTTTGTCCTGGATCAGCACCATGAGTTGCCATGGCGTGGGCAAGCTGGTCACCAGCACCTCAACCAATGATGCTCTAGGGCCACACACCATCATTTGTTATTAAGGTGTTGGTGACTGGTCCACCCACACCATGACAACGCATGAGACTAATGCAGGCCATACATGGGTCAAATTCCAAACAAATTTTCTTTAGAAAATCGGAATTTTCATGCATTTTGTAATCTGATGTTGCCACCATCGATTTCGAAATTCATCCAACCCAGCCTTTAATTTCACCTCATGTTGCTACAAAAAAGAATTTTTGTGGCCAAGAATTTTCTTTTATTTCCAGGTCACAGCTCATGCTCAATTCTTTTTCAATTACATTTCTCCCATCATGATTCTCCCATCATTGCTTAGAAATTTGTGCGTTTTTCAAAAAATTTCCAACATGCCTGATCACTCAAATTTGATGGTCGCTTGAAAATCAGCCGTTGCTGTGGCCCACTAATGATGCGAAATTCGAACGAAAATTCTTAGAAAAGATTTTCAAAGAAAATTCTTTCGGAATTCGACCCGTGTATGGCCCGTGTAAGTCATGGCAAGCGGAATGCAGAGGTGTCTGCAAGATGAGTAAGGGAAATTGTTGCAGTGAGAGGGGAAGGGGTTATATTTTGAATTTGCACAATGTTGAAAATTATAGTGGATTTGCACAGAAAACATATTCATAATCTGTCATTATTACTTCTAGAATATATAGTTAAATTCATTCTTTTCAACACAACCATTTTTACAGAAATTAAAAACCTAGAGTAAAGGTTGGGGAGAAAGTTGACCACACCTGTTCATTTAAAACGAGTCTCAGTTTTTTTCCCTATGAAGTACCAGAAAAAATTAGATTCTGGAGCATTCATCTTGTTAATAAATTCACAATATAGCAAGGTGGGGCAAGTTATTTTTTACATAACTCCCTGAAATTCCTGTAACTTCTGCCACCATGTATCGCCATGCTGTTAAATTTGTGAGGGTGGACCACCACTGGATTTCTGCCCTTTTCCTCTTGAAACGGTCCAGTGCTGAAAGGCATACTGCAGGGACTGAATTCTCATCTGCTACCTTGATAAAAGTTTCAAATGCTTTCAATACAGTTTCCCAATTTCTAGTCCATAGGTACTGTAGCAAATTAGAACCCAAACTTTTCTTATGTTTAGCAGATCTGACTGGAATCAACAAAAGAAAAAACTCTCTCTCTTACCCTGACTGGTGGAACTGCTTCATCTGCAAGACAAGAAAAACATGAACTGATTACTTTTCTTGTCATACTTGAGATTCATTTATGCTGTATATAGGATAAAATGGTATACACATTATACATAAATACACACAAAAAACCTTAAAGTGTTACTAAACCCACAACAGTAAAATCAGACTGTATATGCAGTAAAGCATGCTTGTTATACTCACTGTGGAACTAAAAGGGTTAATACCCCGCATTGTGTGACAAGGATGTTTGATCTTGTCTTCTCTGATCCTGCCATTCTTTTGCTGTCCCCAATCCATCTGTCATAATTTGAGCAGCAGTGGCAAGTCTGCACATGTTCGGTTTGGTGTGTATTTCTAGAATTTTTCTTTTTTTGGGAGGATGCATGTAATCAGCACAGGGCCAATCAGTGCTGTCCAGAAAGAGGTTCAGTGGTTATGCAGCCTCAGAGGAGAATTAAAACTCCTACAATATTAACCAGTGCTCAGCCAGACACTGATAGAAGTCACAAGACTGCTATATACTGTTGATGAGAAAAGGTATTTAGCAGTTTATATTTTCTAAAATAATTACATTTCCATGTTCTGTGTATTGTGGAAGACAGGATATAGTGAATGCAGGGTCCTGGGCTTAGCAACACTTTAAGCTTTATTGTTTATCAAGAACCAGTATGCAGAGAGAAAATTTTATTGCATCCAGGCGTCTAGCAATTTAGAAGAGGTCAGTGAGGTAGCATTCCAGTTCTATATTGCAGTTTACAGTTCTTAGATCTGGTGGCTGCATTTATTTTTCTTATTTTTCAAGCAAAGAACAGTTTCAGCAAATACCGAAAATGCAGGTTGATCTTGCCAGAAATGCAGTGTCCTGTCACTTCCTGTGAGCTGCACTGAAGAATATATTCCTTCCTTGCCATGTTCTGTAAACTAATGCAGCCACAACAATGATTATTTACTTGTAATATGTTAAATGTTAGGTTTTGGGATTAGATATACATTAACTGCTTGCCCACTGCCCTATAGCAGAAATACTGCTACAAGGTGGCAGGGCTGCGCAAAATCACGTGAATATACACGTGATTTTGCATTCCGAGTTGGGAGCAGCTTCAGCTGTCGATCAAAGGGTCCCTCTGGCACCCAGCGATCACCGACTGTCACTGATGGGGGAGAGATCCGTATATAAAACGATACAGATCTCTCCCCTGTCAGCGCCAGCACACTGCTTTGTATTGCTCTGCACAGCAGAGCAATACAAAGCAATGTGATTACACAGTAAAGCACACACACACAGCAGACAGTAAAATTGCACACAGCACACAATTAATCCTTTGATCTCCCCAGATGTTAACCCCTTCCTGCCCAGTGTCATTAGTACAGTGTCAGTGCTTTTTATTAGCACTGATCACTGTATTAGTGGCAGTTAGTCAGTGTCAGCTAGTGTCAGAATGCCCGCCGTAGTCCCACTATACGTTGCTGATCGCCGCTATTACTAGTATTAAAGAAAACAAGATGACAGATGCTGGCATCGGCTGGAGGACACTGCGGGAGAACATCGGGGGATCGCAGGACAAGGTAATGATTGGGGGATTGCAGGACAAGTACTACAGTGTAATCCCGAGTTTGGCTCGGGGTTACCGCTTTTAGTACTGTAAATGAACCCTGAGTCACATATGGGATTACCGCTAGGAAGGTTAATAGCAAAAAGTCAAAAATACATATTTTTTATCAAAATTGTCAGTCTTTTTTTGTTTATAGCGCAAAAAATAAAAACCGCACAGGCGATCAAATAGAAAGAAAGCTCCATTTGTGGGAAAAAAAAGGTCATAAATTTCATTTGGGTGCAGCGTTGCATGACTATGCAATTGTCAGTTAAAATAACACAGTGCAGTATCGCAAAAAATGGCCTGTTCAGGAAGGGGGGTAAATTCTCTGGAGGGCAAGTGGTTAAACTGTATGTGTAGATTAGTGCCAATAATGAATTTCCTATTAGGGGTAAAGGCCCAAAAATACTGGCAATCCAAATGATTGCAGGCTAGATGAACATGATATTCTGCCTGTCCTAAAACAAGGAAATAAGCATTTTCCAGCTGAAGGAACTCACAGATAGGTGTATGGATGGTGGTTTGTTTGCAATACTGGTAATAGCTGTATTATATACCAGTAATGACCACTCAGCTTGCTTTTATGTGTCATTAGATGTTAGTGAACTAAGCTCTAAGCTCAGACACATAAGTGTATCATATGCATAGCTTTCAGAACTGGTCAAATTTCAATAGAAGTCTGCGCTTCCATTCTTCTTGTGTAACCAAAGATTTGTTTGCTTTGATGCCAGTGTGACTTTGTTTAACAATGAACCTAGCATAAATTGAACATAGTGCCAGAAATTACTAGATTTAAGGACCTCTACTGTATAACCACAAGCTGACTCATTAAATACACATGACAGTTAATGAGAGAATGATACAGTGCCAGCATTTCCAAGCGTTTGTTGCTAAGAATATTGACAGTTGGATATGTGATTTCATTCTTCTTTCAGCCTGCAAACATGACCCAGTTCAGCAGGGACTCAATGTTCTGCTCCTGTGTTCCCATTCATTTCCCAAATGGAATTAAGACAGGCTGAATGTAATAACGGCTGTTTGTTGAGACCCTCAGTGACACTGTGGGACGCTGTAACTAAGCAAAGATCTAATGAGCACACATAGTTGAAATTCTGATTTCACCTGCCCACACACAAAGCTAATTTATTTCCACATTGAAATCAAAACTTTAGGCAGCTATGAAATACTCTATTTATTCCAAGTATGACATTTATATAGACCCTTTCACCACCTTATATTCATTAAACCAAACTCTGGCAGGGAATCTGTATAAAGCAGGGGTGTCCAACCTATGGCCCAAGACAGCTATGAATGCGGCCCAACACATTAACTTAAAAATGTTGATTTATTTTTGTAAAAAAAAGTGCGGCCCTTTGCAGACCCCAGCAACCAGTAATGGAAACATTTATTTGTAAAGAGGCTGTAATGGCAGTGATCCCCAGTAGCATTATACACCATGCCCCCAGTCTCTTACTATCCCCTGTGATGTGCTTTACAACCACCCTTGTTGCAGGTCTCTAATATTCTCCTCTTGCATGTCTGGAATATCTGACAGCCGTCTGTCATATATTGAAGATAATGTGTGAGTTGTTGGGGCCATACTTGGGACCCCTACACCTTGCAAATTGACAACCACTGGTATAAGGAGTAGCAGGTGGTGACAGGATACCTAAGTCCTAGTATCAGTACCACCCTCTCAATAATCCCCAGGTACAGCAGCACTCACTTTGGGAGGGGGATCAGAACTCCTAATCAAATACGGCTGTATCATTTGCTTAGTATTCTCAGTCTAAATTTGTGAACATACTTAGGCCTTGTTTACACAGGGCATACTATACCATTAGCCCACACAGGGCCCTGTTTACCTGCATGGGGATTCCAAGGTGCTTCATACATCCTCATGCAGTGAGTCTCATTGATGTCAATGGGGACACAGCCACTCTACCGTAATACGGCATCCATGGGGGTGCGGGTACATATCCCTAAACTCACCCTGTGTGCATATATGTTCTTTGTCAAAAATTATTTTGTTTTTAGAATATTTGAGAACTAGTCAAAGGAAACTACTTCTATGAGAAATATATTTAATGCTGTATTTCTGAATAAGTCTTCAATATGGTAAATATGGCTTACCTCTGAACAGCTGTGTTGCACTTCGGTATCCTTTTTTGTTTCAGATGCAGATGTTCCATTGTAGTTTTGATTTGGTGACTTTTCATCATCGGTATAATTAGTGTGGAGACCAGGTTTGCCCAATTCACTAGTGTGGTTTAAACTTTGAGATACACAAGAGCCATTGTCCTGAGAAGAGAACACCGGCGTACTTTTACAGCCAGATGCTGCTATAGTGGCTGCATTTTTCTCTAAGTGCCCTGATGAACTTACCGAGACAGATTCCTCTTTGTGAGCTGGAAACTTGGATGCATCAAAATACTCCTGCAAAGACATGAAGTTCCTAACTGTGCTCTTCCTCAGTCTCCTCAGAGTGGGTGAGGTGGATATCCTCGCAGGTGCTTGTCTGTCAAATTGGAATGGTGTACTGTAGCTTACATCAGTCTCTTTAGAAGGTACTGTAATAAGTGGAGGAGTAAGATTTGTGTTCTTGCACTTGTTTTCTGTGGAGACTTTGATGTCTTGTAGAATGAACTTGGAATCGATTAAATTGGACTCACTGCCTTCATGTTTTATATTCATTTCATCCATTGTAATATCTGAATTGATAGGTGAGCAGAGATTGAAGTTAAATACGTCATTGTGATCTTCTATTGAATATTCCATAATTGAAATATACTCCTCGTCATCCATGGCTGGGAAAAACACCTAAGCTGGTTCCAGCATTTTTCAGGCACACATCCTGTTCCTAAAGAAGGAAGGAGCACAACAACATGAATATACCACATACAGTACTGCAAAGAGGAAACGGACTACTAGCTGCTCACACCACTGGCAGTCCTTATGAGGACATTGAATCATTATGCCATTGTTATATTACTCATGATGATACACAGTAACACAATGTATATTCCTGAAAACATGGTTTAATGTTTTAGTAACGTGACTATGAACACTTAAAACAATGATTAAGCTATACTCTTCAAGAGGAATCTCATTACATAAAAACAGCTGTTTCTACAGGGACAAATGTATTTTTCTTATGACTGTGATTTATGACTTGAAAACATTGCAGAACTCTATTTTTATAACAAAGTAATGGTTGCTTTTAATCTAGAGGTGACACTGCTTTTCCTTTTTCCATGAAGGCCAGTTAGAAGATTTATGACAGCAAGCATGCCAGCACAAGACCTTCCTTCTTCTCTACTAGATGTATTAATCACTGGCACCTTCCCTGGCATATGCCTCATTACTCACTAATGGAAATGATACCTTTACTGCCTATGGAGTGCAAAAGAAAATATCCACATAGCTGATGTGTTGCTTAGAATATCTGAGCACTTGCTTTCGTTCCTAATAACATTCAACAAATGCATAAATCTCAAGATCTATGAAATGGTCACTGCAGGTTCACTTTTATGCTAAAACTTAAAATGTATATTTATTTATTACAGGTACTTATATATCGCCATCAATTTACGCAGCGCTTTACATATATATTGTACATTCACATCAGTCCCTGTCCTCAAGGAGCTTACAATCTAAGGTCCCTAACTTGCATTCATACATACACATACTAGGGCCAATTTTCACAGGAGCCAATTACCCTTCCAGCATGTCTTTGGAGTGTGGGAGGAAACTGGAGTACCTGGAGAAAACCCACGCAGGCACAGGGTGAACATGCAAACACCATGCAGGTAGTGCTGTGGTTGGGATTCAAACCAAAGACCCTCGTGCTGCTAGGTGGAAGTGCTAACTACTTAGCCACTGTGCTTCCAATATAGCAAAACATTTTTTTTTGTAGTTTTGGATAGAGTGGGGAAGGATTTGAGACTGTCACCAAATTTTGATTGCTGTCTATGTATATATTACGTAGAATATTGTCACCAAGACAGAAAGAAATGGGAATTCGAAAATTTTACAGTTGCCAGCTCAGCAGGACGTAAAGGGAACAATATAAGCAACCGCTCATCACAAAAACATGTATCTGAAAGGAATTATATAATAAAAACTTTAACCTTGAAAATCCAGCACGTCTATTGGTGCAAAGTCCTACATCTGTGACAAAAATCATATTTCCAACCAATAGCCATTTTGTTTACTTGGGTAAATGTTTTGGGTTGGAAAAGTCTTGTAGTAAAAAGGTACTTACTGCAAAAGAATCTAATAACATTGTGAGACCATTGCACTTCAAGAACCACAGTCCAACACAGGGGGTTGTAGGCTGTGCCAAAAGAAGGTTAGTCTCTTCAGCACGCCACACTGTTAACAACAAACAGATGTGCTAATACATAATACAGTGTGTCTTGCGGAAGGGCGCATTCCAAGAGTAGCTTCCCTGCTGCTGGCTAAGCTAGCCATAAATTGCTCAGACTTCAACCAATTCCTGTGAATCAGCTGAAATTCAAACCATGGGTGGCCCTGCCATGACACCACCTAGCTCAACAAACTTTGATGAGAATATAAAGGAGAGTCCCAATGTCAGTATGCAATGTCCGAGCAAGAAGGGATTCCTCCATCCACCTTGTTTGTGTGGATGGAGGAATGTGATGTTCGTTTGGCCTGTTGGCTGAAAAAAGAAAAACAAACCATCTATGGTCAGCTTTAGACAGGCAAAAAAGAGGAACAAACAAGCAGAAGACATGAAAAAGAATGTTTAGAAGAGAAGTATGGCCACTGAATTTTTCATGCTTCTATGCAGGGTCACAGGAGTGTATTACTTCTGTACTCCTGTGACCCAGATTCAGGCAACAGCATGCTAAAGCCCACTGTCAGCTGACATCACAGAGCTGGTCCAGACTCTGGAAGGATCCAAACTTTTAGCTCAGGATCTACCCAGATGCCAGACCGGGAGCTGTACAAGCCAGCTGCTCCCATTCCCCTCCCCAGTACAGTGCTCCATCAGAGCACAAAGCGGTGACTGACAGTCACGACTCTCTGCCTAGTGAAGACCAAAAACTGATTGATCAGCGATCATGTCATCACTCAGTTCTTGGGTCCTAGACTCGGCAGGGGACAGCTGCAGTATCAGAGCGATGCTGCAACCATATAGGTGTGTATGTATGTTTTTTTTTTTAAAATCCCTGCAGTTATCCTTTAATCTTGAATATGTGAATTACAGTAAGGTCCATATATATTTGGACACAGGCACAATTTTTATATTTTTGGCTCTGTGTGCCACCAGAATAAATTAAAACAAAACAATCCAAATGAATTTGAAGTTCAGACTTTCAGCTTTAAATCAAGGGGTTGAACATAAATATCAAGTACAAATTTTAGGAACTGCAACCATTTTATACACAGTCCCTCCATTTTCAGGGCTCAAATGTAATTGGACAAATGAATATAATCATAAATAAAATGTTTTTTTTTTTTATATCTTGTAGAGAATCCTTTTCTGGCAATGACTGCCTGAAGTCTGGAACCCATGGACATTACCAAAGGCTGGGTTTCCTCCTTTCTGATGCTTTGCCAGGCTCTAACTGTAGCTGTCTTCAGTTGTTCTTTGTTTGTGGGTCTTTCTGCCTTTAGTTTTGCCTTCAGCAAGTGAAATGAATGCTCAATTGGGTTGAGATAAGGCGATTGACTCGGACATTGCAGAATATTCCACTTCTTTTCCTTCAAAAACTCCTGGGTTACTTTTGCAATGTGTTTTGGATCATCATCTGTACTGTGAAGCGCAGTTCAATCAACTTTGCTGCATTTGGCTGAGTCTGGGCTGACAGTATCTCTCTAAACACTGCAGAATTCATCCGGCTACTTCTGTCTTCTGTCACATCATCAATAAACACCAATGACCCAATGCCACTGGAAGCCATGTATGCCCATTCCATCACACTGCCTCCACCATGTATTACAGATGACGTTGTGTGCTTTGGATCATGAGCTGTTCCAAGTCTTCTCCACACTTTTTGCTTCCCGTCATTCTGGTACAGATTAATCTTAGTTTCATCCATCCAAAGAATGCCTTTCCAGAACTGGTCTAGCTTTTAAAGATGTTTTTTGGCAAAGTCTAAACTGGCTTTTCTATTCTTATTTATTACAGGTACTAATATATCTCTGTTAATTTACACAGCACTTTACATATATATATATTGTACATTCACATTAATCCCTAACCCTCCAGGGGCATACAATCCAAAAGATTCTTCAGGCTTATGAATGGTTTGCACCTTGTGGTGAACCCTCTGTATTTGCTCTCTTGAAGTCTTCTCTTCATTGTAGACTTTGACAATGATATGCCCACCTCCTGGAGAGTGTCCTTCACTCATTTGCATGTTGTGAATGGGTTTTTCTTTACCATAGAGAGGATCCTGCATTATCCACCACTGTTGTCTTCTGTGGATGTCCATGCCTTTTTATGTTGCTGAACTCACCAAGTGCATTCTTCTTTTCTAAGAATGTTGACTTGGCCACTCCTAATGATGCTGCTATCTCTCTGATGGATTTGTTTTGTTTTTGAAGCCTTACAATGACCGGTTTCACTTGCATGGACAGATCCTTTGAACACATGATGTAGGTTCACAGCAATAAATTCCAAATGCAAACACTACACTTACAATTAACTCCAGACCTTTTACCTGCTTAAATGATGAAGAAATAACGAGGGAGTAGCCCACACCTGGCCATGAAACAGCATTTGGTTCAATTGTCCAATTACTTTTGGTCCATTGAAAAAGGGGGGATGGCTATTCTTAAGAGCTGTAATTCCTAAACCCTTCTTCCAATGTGGATGTGCATACCCTCAAATTAAACCTGACAGTGTGCATATCCATTATATGACTATAACTTGAATATGTTTTGGTAAATACCTGAAAACATCTAAAGTTGTGCCTGTGTCCAAATATATATGAACCTAACTGTATATGGAAAAATTAGATTTTTAAAGTCAGTCCAATTACATTGTTATCCTGGCTACAGACCCCTATCGGGTTACCCAAGTCAGCTAAAAACAACACTGTCAGAAACTGTAAGCCAAAGCCATTCCAGGCCAATACTCAGACAGGTAGGAAAATATTCATTTGTTTTAATTGTAGATGTAATATGTGATGTAAAATCAAAACCAGTTTCATGAATCATTTTAAAGTATGAAAAAAATAAATGATCACTGTTCACTAAAACATAGAGATCAGCTTTAATTTGAAGTCCAAACAAACTATTTACTTCACTAACACATGCAGCAGCTGTCAGCACAGTATAGACTGTACGTAGTCTCTGCCACATACATTATACAGCAATGTGTTCTGGCAGCAGTACGGGAACTTCCCGTTCCACTCTCGGAGCAAAATCAAGTCAGGCTGAGCAGTGCTCAGCCATTCACAGGAGGCTTTGTATTCTATGAAATAATACAAGTTTCCTCTGATTCACTGAGGAAGATGTCAAACAAAGTGAGAGTGGTGCTCAGCCTGACTTAACTCTGTTCTTGGAAAGGGACAGGAAGTTCCCATCCATCTGCTGGGACACAGCGCTATATACTGTATGCAGTCAAGGCTAGATACAGCTCATACACAGCTTATAGCCTCTGCACCTCGTAGTGAAGAAAATAGTTTGTTTGGACCAGTTTGGCCACTAAAACAAGTTTAGCTTTAAGTGATTGTAATTAGGACAGGATCAGACAAAACTGCAAAAGTGTGTCAACATTTAAGGAAAATAATCTAAAATACGACTGAAATTCTAATTCAATCTCAAAATTA